TGGGTTGATCACCTCCTGCTTGGACCTCGACCTCTACTACTTGTACTGCCCCAATTCTGTTCTACCCCATCCCCTCTCTTTCTCCCTCTCCCTCTCCCTCTTTTTGCTTTCCCGATATGCCTTTGGTATACTACATCAACTTCTCTTCCGTTTCCGCATCGCTCTTCCTCCTCCTCATGCATTGATTGCGCAATGGGGCTGTGACCTGGTCTCTCTGTGCTACTTTCTCTGTACTATAGTATACACCACCGTCTCCACCGTGGATCACCATTCCTTGATCCTGTCTTTGCTCGGACAACCCTCCGATTCCTAATCGAGTATGCTACTCACATTGAAGCCGTCTTCTCAGAACGGGATCAAAGGCCCTCATGACTACGCTATTGTTCGTCAGTCTATCCCAACACCTCGGTCCTCTCCGCCCTCCGCACCGGATCCAGCTGCGGCCATTGTAGCATCCAAAAGACCCTCCGTGGACCACTCTATGGAATCGTCTCGTGGTGGCTTGCCACCTCCTTCGACTCTGGCCTTGCCGCCGCCGGATATCGGCTTCTCCTCCATGAATTCCGTGAATCAACCACTGCCGCGCCCTCCGGCGCAACGGCAGAGCACCGACGACACCAGTCAGTACTGGCATGCGAAGGCTGAGGAAGACCGGAGAAGGCAAGAGGAAGAACGAACCCGCCAGGAATCGCTACGTTTAGAGCAGCGGAAGATCGAACAGAGTATGCTTCGAGATTCCTTGCAAGCCGGCGTACCGCCTCATATGATTCCGCTCATCTTTGCGGGTATCAGCCAGAATGGCGTCCCGCAAGCAGTCATCGAATGGGCTCAGCAACATATGACACAGGCGCCGGCCGGTCCCCGTGCGCCACCACCGTCGGCACCGGCTCTATCTCATTCGTCTCATCGGCGCAGTCTGCATGCCCGCGGGGAGTCTCGCTCTATTCCTCCTGGTCCGTATGCGGCTCCACCACCGCAACAGGTCGTACCTCCCCCGGGGATCCTTTTATCACAACCTCTTCCCCCTTCGGGGCCACCACCCGCTCCGCAGCCACTCGGACGGTCTCCATTACCCAATGGGCCAGCGGATCCCCGGGGTCCGCCCATGCCTCGACCCAATCCTGGTGAGCCGCTGGCCCAACAGCAACCTACGATTAACTTGAGCAACGTTCATTATGCTCCAGGGTCATCTATCCCGCATGCTCAGCATGTCGGGAGCAAGCCGGACGGCCACCACCGACAATCTCCGTCCCTGTATTTTCATCACTGGGTCCCTCCAAGTCAGTCCCAGCCGAATACGCCTTCCGGCAGAATCCGACAAGAATCGCCCTTCGCATCGCAGGCTTCTCGTCGTCCAGAGTATCAAAGCCCCCCGGGACGGAAGAGAAAAGCTACTGGTCCTCACCAGCCGGCTCCTTTCCCGTCATCACGCCCGTCTGAAACAATTCCCGGTGCTTCTCAAGTCTCTCGACCAGGCTCCCCATTGGGCCCAGTCCCGCATGTCGAACCTTCAGTTCATAGCCGTCAGCACAGCGGCGTATCTGTCATGTATGAGCCCCGTGGCCTAGGGCCGTCAGGTTTTGAACGCGGCAGCAGAGCTGCGAGCCCAGCTCATCATACGCAGCGTGTGATTGGGCCCACAGAGACCCGGGCTTAAGGAAGGACTATGATCGAGTAGATGTTCCAGAACGTCGAGGCGAGCCGGCTCCAACGGGGAGTAACGTGCAGTACCCACCTGCAGCGCCCCAGCCACAATATTCTTCGAGTATTGGGACTGCGCCCCCTGACTCGGACTTGGACAGCAGTCCCGGGCCTTCTCCAACTTCAGGGATACCTCGGGCACCCACTCGGCCCGGTGACCATGGTGCTGCGCCTCCAAGGTAATCAATGACTTGTGGGGTTGCGCAAACACTCGTCTATATACGACCATGTCGTCCCCACAGCAATTGATTGGTCGACGAAATAGATGACTTACGAAGCACTCTAGCAAAAGCATGTTCTTGTTTTCAACCAGCTCCCCCTCCCTCTGAATCCGACACTCCTTTATATTCTCTTTGTCCTCTACCAAACAATCCTCCGTTCTACAGTGATTTGTATACCACTCACACCTCCCGGCTGGCTCGCGGAGACCATCTACATATGACATATTATGTCCTGTATCTATTGGATCTGTTGCCAGCACCTGGGGTGCTGGTGCTAGATGCTCAAGAAAGCAAGAAAATAAATAAATAAATAAACATTCAATCAACAGTATCACCCACAAATTTGACCGTTCTAGAATCCTTCTAGAACCGAACTTGCCGGAATTTTATGTAATATATACTACCTGAAAGCTCCCGTAAGGTCCAAGCGTCTTTGACAAATGCATACTACTCTATTTCAGGGTGACATTCCGCGTACTACTGCATACTATTCTCCTAGCTCCCCACCAGAATGCAAAACTGGTCCTTCAATGTTTTTTCATTGTTTTCTTTTCCTTCTAATCCCCTTCGGGCAACAAGAGAGAAGGATAGATACACAGACAGATAGATATGAAATTGTTTAGACACACACCGTGGTGGACAAAAGGGAAGGGGTATCAGGGATAACAGTGTTGTTCTTGCTGTGACTTTGATATATAGGACAAACAGAAAAGGAATAGAAAAAGAGACAGACAGACAGAGAGAGAGAAGGAAGGACAGATACAGACATCAATAACAGGCAAACAACGAATGGTGGGACAAGTACATGCCGTGTAATAACATAATGACAAAATGAGACTGGTAAATGAGTTAGACTGTACTGATAAAGGAAATAGGAGTGCGGAAACGAGTTGGGTATGCAATCGGAAACGAGGGTCTTTGGTTGTGGGTTTTGAATATGTGAGGGGACAAACAAGGGTCGATCGATCGACCGTGAAGGAGTGCTCTGGGTCGCGTGACGGATGGTGTGTTGGTCTGAACGGAGAGTCTCGCGGTATACTGGATTAGGTCTTTCTTTTGATGTGATTGGATTAGGGGATGGGACTCGAGGGGGAGGAGATATTAGGTGTGTAGTGTGGTGGAGTGAGTCCCTGGCGGAGGGGGGAGACATGGTCCATGTCTCTCGGTCATAGCTGTATAGTATGTGCATCCGGTCCCTGGTGTAGAATCATACGACTGCGAAGCCGTGCGGAGGTCGTGATGTGAATGCCATTAGAAGCTGTATTAGGGTAAGGAAGGCGTTCGTGGACAAAAGAAGGTCGACTTTTGTCCGAGATCATCAATAATCGTGCGAGTTAAATCGTCCATCAATGGTTTTGGGTTTTCGAAGCTGGTATAGCCTCGAGATAATTAGGTATTATAGTGGAGGGCCGTAAAAAAAGTATAGAAGGTAGAAAGCGTTTCTACCATGTCATCACATCACACATCACGTCACAACATCATCGAAACCTTGAATGTCTGAAACCCGGCCTTAGGCAAGGGCCTTTTTCCGACGGTGGACTTTCCATTCTGCCTTTGCGACACGCATGAATAGTTCAACGTCCTTTATCGGAACCCAGCTGGTGAGAACCTTCATGGCGTTCTCAAAATCTGATTCGAGAATAATTTCCCGCATGCCATCAATAAGAGCCGCCGATGTTGCATGGAGGACATCCAAGCCCTTGCCAAAGGCGCTTGCGTCGGGGCCCTCGGTCTTGACGCCTGGACCAGCTGGGTCCTCAGCGTCGCCGAGGAGCATAAACACATCCCACACCCGCAGCTGGGCTGGAAATGGGATAGAGTAGTTGAAGAGAGTGAGGTACCAACGTGTACCGTACGCAGTAGGCGGGATTCCGAGTTCATTCAGTTTCATGGCGACCTCTCCTCCCTCCAACCACCCCCGTTCAAAGTCAGCCAGAGCCTCCATCAGGCCTTCGAAGCCTGACCGGTATAGCTGCTCCAGCCCTCGTAGCTGCCATAGACGGACGAGCATGATAAAGGCGTGTTCCTCATCATAGTAAGCAAGAAGGGTTGCAGCAAGGGCTGCCATGCCCTGAACATAGCCTGTATCTGGGAAATACAAAGACATCGCATGCAGCACGCGGAACAGCAGGCGTTGGCCGCCACGATACCGCCGACGAAACATGATATGGCTGGTGATGGTCCTTGGGACATCGATATCGATCTGTACGTCGTCGGGTGACGATACGAACTGGTACTCATGGTAAGCGTCAATGAGCTCATCCACGGTAGGACTATCGCTGCGCTTTTTGGCGCTCGCCTCTAGAAAGGAGTACCAGGCAGTCGATCTCCATCGGTCCGGTATGCCTTTCCACGTCCGCTCAATAAGCTTGGAGCTCTTTGTATCAAACTCGAATGTCATGCCACCGCCAGCTCTGCTGCTCTTTGTCTGCCTCGCCATCTTGGTCCATTTGTCTTCCCTTCGCCACTCCCTCTTCTTAGCCGCACTCATAGCAGCTGTATTTACCCTGTCTCTACTGGAATCAACTGGGTGCGTGAGCATGTCGGCAGCTTCGTCTTTGAATCGGCGGTCGCGATTGTGAGGAAGATGATTTGTTGCTTGACGAAACCTTGAAGTTGGCCGTCGTACTGGCGAACTATATGCGCTCTGTGACGATGAAGGGCGGACTGCTGGCGCGGAAATTTTGCGGTTCGGAGACCGACCCGCAAAAGAGCGGTTACTCCCCAGAGCAGATGGAGGTCGAATGGAATATTTCCGACGAGGGCTTTCTGAGGCAAGGAGCAGACTAGTAGATACCCGTTGAATCGGACTAGGCTCCGTACCATCGTTGGAGTTGCTAGTAGGAGAGCGAATAAAACCATATCTATCCACATCCCCCGCTTTAATATTGTGCCAATACTCAATTCCGCCAGCTAGCTCGTTGGGCTCCTTCTTGATGCTTGGAGCAGGCTCGGGACCGACTGAGGATACTATGCTCTTGGTTTCCGTGCCAGACACACTGGCGCCTGAAAAGCGAGAAGTCTCCTCACTTGCCGGGCCGCCCTCTTCCCAGAGCACACCGTTCTCCACAGCCAAGCTTTCGCGACTTCCGAGTCTGTCACATTCTCATCACCCTTTTCATACATCAGCCTGACCCGACGCGACAGCATATCCTCGTCTGCGGAAATCACTCTGCTGGGCATAGCGCTCCGCCGGGCACGAAGCGATGGTGGCAGTTTTGAACGCCGTACAGGGGCGTCTAAAAGTTCCACCTCGGCGTCATTCTGCTCTATTGGCGCAGTGGATGGAGGTATTGGGTCCTTCTCGATCTCTTCCTGGCCGCCATCTTGGTCTAGCTGTTTCAACCGTTGCCTTGCCTCCTCTTTGATGAGACTCCCGCGCTTGGAGAACCTCATAGATTGCGGCGCAAGGCCGTCGAAGGACGCATTGGGGATATCCAAGGAGAGTCCATTGAATTCGATGGGAGGAACAGGTGGTGGCGATTCCGAATCTCTTTCCAACTCTGCAGACTTCTTGCCCCATAGTCCGCTAAATTTACGTTCCGACCACCGGGAGCCAGGGCGCGACCCCGGGCGGGAGCTAGGACGAGATCCGGCGTCATTGACGACAATGCTAGGAATGGAGCGCAATGAGCGCAGGCTGACGACCGATTTCGCAGCATCTGGCCCTAGCGTTCTTCCGTCTTTCGTTTGCGGCCGTTCATGTCTATGCGACGAGAGTGGACGGCGTGACGGGTCTCCGGGATAACTCGACGGTGCGGTAGCTGCAAGTGATTTGTTTCCGGGGCACAATGGGTGATCGACTGGAGTAGGCAACGAGGCGGATCTGACAGCCAAGGGGGCTTCTGCGGCGACGGTTTCTTCGTAGGCAACGGCGTGAATCGTCGAGCTAGACTCCGACATCACGGCGCCAGGCAACGAAGCGGATCGCTTATCCTCCACCATTATCCTGGCATGACTTGATGTGTATTTATCCTCGTGACCGCATTGATTGATGGGCTCTTTTCCCTTCAACTTTTGCTCTGGAAAGGCGGACGGGGACGAACGGTTGGTTTTCAAGGGAGGGAGGGAGGCGGGGGGACGCTTTGAAGGAGGCGAAGGAATGGACTATTCCACGAAGAATCCCGCGCCGGAGATCACCGCTGGCAGTTCAATGGAGTGGTCAAGAAAGGATAAAGGAGGGACACTAGTGAAAGTACATATCTTGCGCAGTTGAACATGACCGTCCCCGACCACGAGATTCAGTTTTTGCCAACAGGAGAGGATCCGTCCAAGAAGTTTTGAATTGGGTCGCCATTTGACCTGCGGCTCCTCCTTGATTTTACTTGGCGCGAACGACCGGACAAGCTTTCTTCGTAACCCTAATTTCCTGGCCACGGATCGGAAATCCGCCTCCAAACTCTTCAGGAACAGGAGTAAGGACGCAGCGCCTAGTGTCCGCCTCGAAATTAATACTATCCCAGGTCCCTGCTCCGATTCCAAATCATATCTACTGCACCGAAGCGCTGTCTCCCGTTGAAGCGCCAGAAGCCTTCAAGCAGGGATCACAAAGGGGGGGCGCTTTGGCGCTCCACACGGGAAGGTTTCCAGATACTAGACTTAATTTTAGGCCACGCAGCTGTGGATCTGGTCATAGTTCTGTGTTGCAGACTTGCGGATATTATTGATAATAATAGCAGTGGTTGTCGTGGGAGCCATTCAACGGATATCCACCTCTGGGAAGGATTCTTGCGTG